GGTGTCTGTCCTGCTCATTTACGCGCTTCACTGAATAACACACAGATCTTCTTCCTAATAACAGCGTATGCCAATAACGTCATGTAGATTTACTGTAAATATTCTCAGATCAGTTACCGATAAGAAGTCTTTTTTTTTTCTTTTTAAGTTTTAGTTAAACTGCGAATATTAACAGCAATCCGATATGATGAAACGACTTCACTTTGCCTTCATTCCTGAATGTTATGAGTAGCAGTCATACCTGTGCTATTGAATACATAAGACATGTAAACACACAAATACATAAACGTGAGGAAAGGAAAAAGAAAGCAAATTAAATGACTAAATGAAATTAATTTGATGGTAGTCATGTGCCTATATACACACATACTAGATGAATGAGTGTGTCTAGCGTGTCGTCCTCAGCCTGTGTCTGCTCATGTACTGATGATCTGGAGACCCGTCGCGTGTCCGCACGTGTGTGTATACAGTAGATCACGTCTGTCCTCTTCATCTGTGAAGACTCAGGGAGTTTCTGTTGTTCTGTGTACGCCACTTTCTCTGTGACTCAGAGCCTGTAAATAAACATTTAAGCTTTCCAAGCCACTGTTTCCTGAGCCTCTCTCACACACTCTCACAGTCCCATGATCCGTTCCTTCTCGTGGAATATTGCAGTGTTTATTCTGAATGATTTATGGGTGCACATCAGTATTGTGTTAATAATGTTGAATCATGATCAGTTCCTCTTGCAGCATGGGCGGGGCTATGACCTGTCACTCACATGAGACCATCTAATCAACTCCCCACAGACACAGTCAAGCCCCGCCCACATGTGTTATTGTTCCAGAGGTGCCGAGGCTGTGAATGTTTGTGTGTGTGTTGTGAATGTGCATGTGTGTGTTGTGAATGTACTTGTGTGTGTTTTGACTGTGCATGTGTGTGTTGTGAATGTGCACGTGAACTGTATTTAGTTGCACTAACCGCACATGTCTTCCTGTCTGCACAAGCTCACCTCTAAACTAGCACACACACACACACACACACACACACACACACACTTCCTCTCCTGAGCTCAGCTCTCTCTGCTGAACTACTGAGGGTTATTTATCAAGCTAACCCGAGCAGCGCATCTCAAACACACCTGACCTGCGCTGACAGGCCGAGAGCTGTGCATCACCTGTCAATCATCTTCTCAGGTGTAAAATCCTGCACGTGTGTTTAATGATGCATTTCATAGTTAATGTATCTTTATAAAAGTTTACAAAGGTGTTGCAGATGAAATGCAGATAACTTTCAATATTTTTCATCAGATTAGATATTCACTCTTAACCGTCTGTCTCGCACATCTGCCATGTTTGTAGTTTTTGTTTTCTTGTTTGTAGTTCTAATCTATCCCAGGAAGTGATGAGTTCCTGCTGAGGACGCAAGCAATCCGATTGGTTCAAAGTTCACTTTATGGGTAATCGCTTATGTATGGGGGGAATCTGTGTGCATATAGTGACGCAAAAGTGTGGGAAATTCGCTGTAGTGTGCCCTCCAGGCCGCTAGGTGGCCACCGTGAGCAGACCTGTGCCTTCGCTGACTAGCAGACATTTGCGTTTTTACCGGGAACGTGATGGTGGAGCGATTTTAAGATTTCCACTGGGTGCTTTTAGCCCCCAAAACGCCGTCGCAGTGTACTGTAAACAAAAGCCACATCCGATAAAACATTTTCACGTGTTCACCCGCGAGCGTTCTCGTGTAAACAGGGCCTTACTGTCTGGTTACAAACCAGATGTCACTTTATTATATAAGATGTTTGACCTACGTTATAACAAGCATTAATGTCTTAGTTTCATATGCAAGAATATAATATAGACATCGCCCGTTCTTAGTGTTGCTTAGATAGGAGCATACTATCCCTTATTATTAGAGAGAACATTTCTTAAATCTTCTACGATATTTTTCGATAAAGAACTTCTATAACAAATATGATACAAGCATAATTCTGTTTAATAATTAATTATGACATGACATTCTTATAATTAAAAAAGAGATATTATGCCTTATTGCTTAATAACAATTAACTATGTTAGAGAGAGAGAGAGAGAGAGAGAGAGAGAGAGAGAGAATGTGTGTGTGTGTACGTGTGTGTGTGTGTGTGTGTCACTGTCCAGGTCACTGATATCTGTTTTGTCCCATTCTTGAAATTCTTTCCATTGGAAACAATCTGGCACTGAAACATGTCTTACACACACACACACACACACACACACACACACACACACACACACACACACACACACACACACACACACACACACACACACACACACACACACACACACACACACACACAGAGAGAGATATCCTGATGTGAGGATTGGCCTCTAAAGGGCTTTATTGGTTAAGATATCTATCTATCTATCTATCTATCTATCTATCTATCTATCTATCTATCTATCTATCTGTCTATCTGTCTGTCTGTCTGTCTATCTATCTATCTGTCTGTCTGTCTATCTGTCTGTCTATCTGTCTATCTAGCTAGGCTACACAAAATAATCAAAATAACTATCTAAATACTATGCTAAATAGATGCTACAATACTCTATCCTGATCGTTTTCAATATACTCGTAATTCCCACTCTTGACTCGCAGTGGTTTTGACAAAACCAGATGTTTTTTATGTAAACGGCCAAGCCGCAAACATCCAATAGGAAAATTCAACTGCAGTAGCCAGCGTTCAACCTGAAGAGGGCAGCACTCGTTTATACACCACATATTGTAGAATTAAAACACTTTATACCCAAATGTCAAAAAGGTTACTCTAATCAATGATCAGCACTAATAAAGCCCCATTCTTACAGATCATTAACTAAAAAAGGTTGGTTTAGGGTTTAGTTAGCCTTTAATAAATGTTTACCCATTGTCTGTGAAGATGGTGTCGTGGCTCCTGCGTGCTGCACATCTTATTCAGGTTCTCAGTGAAATTGAAAGCATGTTAAAATTATAACTGAAAAATAAACCTAATTCGCCCAAATGATTGTAGAGGATGTCTTCATTCATCCTTCACTTGAGGATGGATATTGTGGAAATGATAGATTATGTACATGTTGGGTAATGTAAGTGTATTGCCTAATGTGAAAACTGTGTAATCTGTTTTACAGCATATTCGTCTCAGCACGTCTAAAGCCGAATTGAAACCTGCATCTTGCATTGTTTGCTTTTGGATGAACAGATTGTTAAAGTACTAAACTGAAAGAAGATCATATTGTTGTGTTTCGGTGATTAAACCAAATGTTCTCATTAAATATGATATTACAATAATCTTCTGTTTGAAACAATGATTAAACATGTGCAACTGACTGAAAGCATTACATCAGGTTTTGCGTTACAAGAGTGATCAGTTTGGATTTTTGATCTACTAGTTTTGAAAATATACACCTTATTTGTGAAAAAGCGAACTATAACTGTAAAGCTGTAATAATGTGCATTTAGTCATTGTGCAAATTGTAGACTAGCTCTTTTGCAGACGTGTGCACCATATGCGATTTGCTTAATTGAGCCAAAGCGATTGAGAAAAACTGTAAGATATATTCTATTATAGCGCTATTCTAACGTCATAGAACTGGATAACAATTATAAAACATATTTATTTTTATTACACAGAGCGAGAGTGGACAATCACTGCTGAGACGGACTCGCGCTGTGTGTTCGGCGAGTGCGCGAGAGGGCGGAGCTAGTCTGTGATTGGCCAGAGGATCAGCGTGTCGTCACTCGGGAGAGGCGGAAGTTCAGAGGTCGTGCGAAATCACGGATGTCACTGTAAACACCGAGTTTACATCGCGTTTACTGTGTTTGATCTGATCTGACCTGAAGAACTGTGGGTGCTCTGCTTTACTGAAAGGGATGAATGTCTCCACGGCTGATATTTACGAACACAGTCACTCCTGCAAACGTTAAGCGCTGAAGTGAGTAAATAACACACACGAATATTGGACGCGGATGACGTTAACGTTAGTTGTTTTGCTGCTGTAATGATCGCGAGACAGATGATGGTCACTCGTGTATGATCCATTCATCAACAAGTGTGAGCTTCATAAGCCTTGCTCTGCTGTTGTTAGGTAGGTGTGTATTCTGGAGGGTTTTCATTGAAACACAAACTGCAGAGTCACGTGTGTGTCTGCAATCAGGCTGAATATCATATATCCATAAATCATATAATTCGTCACTGATGATCCAGACTAGTTTCTGATGTTGTCCAGTATTCTCCTGTTCTGGGTCTCTGTGATATAAAGAATACCAACGAAAGTAAATCGGCTACACTTGTTTCTTAACACACTTAAGTACACTTTATAATAATATCTATTATAAAGCCATGCTTAAGAGAAGTGCACTTGTTTTAATGAGTTGATAATTAAGTGTAGTGTTATTGGATGCCTTTGAATGATTCTGCATTTTTTCATTATTTATTTCTTGGTTAAAAGCATCTTGAATAGGAAGATGTGTTTATGGTATTATCAATAATAATGATTTAATCTGTAGATTTATAGACCATTTCAAAAGATGTAAACAACACTGGTCCAGAAGCACTTCCTGTTTCAGTTTTTTAACACTACATAAAAGCTGGGATAAAATACAACCAACAGACCATTTAAAACTGAATCAAAAAGTTAAACAAACATCTTTAAGATGTTTTCTTTACATGTGAAATAAAGAAAACAGTTACAAACTGAAACAGGAAGTGTTTCTGGACCAGTGTTGTTTACATCTTGTGAAATGGTTTATAGACACATTTGTCGCTGAGTTCCAGTAGCAGATCCGCAGAAACACAACACCGATCACGTTAATCTTTACTGTTAATCTTCTTTAATGTCTTTAAATCCCGCGCTTCTCGTCAGTTTAGACCGTGTTCCTGATGCTTTGGCCGATGGATCATAAATTCATTAGTGTTTTTTGAGAACTGCTTTGCACAGACCGACCGATATCAGGATCTGAACTGTATTTTCCTTTTTCAAGTGATTTCAGTCATATTTCTAGCGATTCAAACACATCATGTTGAACAGTGCGCATCTGAAGCGTCTCAGCCGAAGGAAATATTAATAACGATAACATAAAAAATGAGCATATACCGGCCAAGACCGATATATTGTCATCCCTAACCCTGCCTTAAAGGGATACTCCACTTTTTTTGGAAACAGGATAATTTTACCACTCCCCCAGAGTTAAACATTTGGGTTTAACCGTTTTCGAATGTATTCAGGCAATTTTTTGATATTTAGAAGAATATCAGTACCCAGACAGTTTCTGGTCTCATTGACCTCCATAGTATATTTTTTACATATTATTATATATTTTTCATAATTCAACTTATGGCATCCAGAAAGATCCAAACAACACTCATCCGTGTCCACTGGAGATTCAGCGGTTATAAAACCCAAGACTTCGGATTTAAGGTGGCTAGAGAAAGGTTCATGTTTGTAACCGTACTCGTGCGGGGTGGACTCGTGTAGAGTCATGTGACCGTCTGCTAGCGAGGCTTCTGTCAGACGCAGGTGATAGTCTGTGATGGTTCTGTGTGCAGGATGATGCCGCTGTCCGTCCGAGGCCTGTGTTTCCTCCTCATGCTGTTCCTCGGCAGCTTCTTCGGGAGTGTGTTCCTGCTGGGTCCGGTTCTGCCACTCATGCTGGTGTCGCCGGCCTGGTACCGCTGGATCACGGACCGCATCGTGGCCACATGGTTCACGCTCCCCGTGGTACGGCACCGCCCCTGCCGGAACATCATGATAAGATCCTCTTCCTGCGTCAGAAGGAGAGCCAAATCTGATCGGCTGGTTTTTGACACGATATGTCTTACTCTTTTAGTCAACTCAAGACACCTGTGTGTGTGTGTGTGTGTGTGTGTGTGCAGGCGCTGCTGGAGCTGGTGTTCGGGGTGAAGGTGGTCATCACGGGCGACGGCTTCGTTCCCGGCGAGCGCAGCGTGATCATCATGAACCACCGCACGCGTCTGGACTGGATGTTCCTGTGGTGTTGTCTCCTGCGCTTCAGTTTCCTGCGTCTGGAGAAGGTCTGCCTCAAGGCGGCGCTCAAGGCCGTGCCCGGCTTCGGTGAGTCACACACACACACACTCACACTACGCCAGAAAAGAGTGTGTAGCAATTGGGACGCACCGCCAGACTTTCTGTTTAAATTATATTAAGCCTTAAAGTTGTGCATAATTAAGGGCGTGGCCACTTGAGTGACAGGTGGACTGCCGCTGATGTCACTACTAGCCGTTTGTCTGCTGTGTGTTAGCGTCCCGCCCCCTCAGGTCACATGTTCGTTTATCCGGGAGTTTATTATGCAAAAACAAGATGGCGACGGCCGGCTCCGCCCACTTTGGGCTTCAGAAACACTACGAGTGATGTCACACACACTACACACACATATGTTATACAGTCTATGATTCAGGCTGCTATAGAGGGAGTGTGTGTGTGTGTGTGTGTGTGTGCAGGCTGGGCAATGCAAGTGGCCTCCTTCATCTTCATCCACCGCCGCTGGGAGGAAGATCGCACACACATGTCCAACATGCTTCAGTATTTCTGCCACATCAAGGAGCCGCTGCAGCTCCTGCTGTTCCCCGAAGGCACCGACCTCACCGGTACCACACACACACACACACACACACACACACACACACACACACACACACACACACACACACACACACACACACACACACACACACACAAATGCCAAAAGTAAAATGCCATAAGATATTATGTCTTGTTTTCTGGGGAAATAAATCAAAATTAAGTGAGTTTTTCCTTAAAACAGGCGAAATTAAGCTGCAGCTTCAGCATTTCCCAGGAAACAACACTTCATATATTTTGTCACTTTACTCATCTAGTAAATGCATCTTGATTTAAGAATTTTAGATACAGTGGTGTGAATTAGTGTTTGCCCCCATGCTAAAGTTGCCTAAAAAGAGGAATAAAAAATCATCTTTTGGATATTGATCTTAATGCCTTAATTAGAAAAATGAGGAAAACTCCAACCTTTAAGGACACCAATTTTCTTTGTGAATGAATAATGTATCATAAATAAATATATGTTTTTTTCTTAAAATACAGGGTGCATAAGTCATTCCCCCCCTATGTTAAATTCCCATAGAGTCAGGCATATTTTTATTTTTAAAAGCCAGTAATATATATTATATATATTAAAATATCCCCACATCATCACACACCTTCTACCACACTGAGAGATTGGCATGGTTTTACTTCAGTTCGCCTAATAGCTGGTTTGATTTGCATTGAAAGATGATCTTATGGAAAGTACCCCATGCCAATCTCCAGGTGTGGTGGAAGGTGTGTGATGATGATGTGGGGATATTTTAATCCCAAAGGCCAAGGGAACTTTATCAGGATGCATATTATCCTGGATCCATGAAATAACTGGCTTTTAAAAATAAAAATCTGCCTGACTCTATGGGAATTTAACATAGGGGGGGAATGACGTATGCACCCTGTATTTTAAGGAAAAAACATATATTTATTTATGATACATTATTCATTCACAAAGAAAATTGGTGTCCTTAAAGGTTGGAGTTTTCCTCATTTTTCTAATTAAGGCATTAAGATCAATATCCAAAAGATGATTTTTTATTCCTCTTTTTAGGCAACTTTAGCATGGGTGTCCAAACTTATTCACACTGGAAACCAGACAAAAACACTGAGTAAGAAAGGCACTTCTGCAGTGTGTGTGTGTGTGTGTGTCGGTCTCTATAATGCTGTAGCTGAGCGCTGGATGATGATGTCAGCACAGAGAGGATGTGTAACTCGGGTCATGTGATCGTGGCTTCAGCTCCGGCTCTTCATTGTTGTGTGCAGAAAACACTCGAGCCCGGAGTGACGCGTTTGCAGAGAAGAACGGTCTTCCGAAGTACGAGTTCGTTCTTCATCCTCGCACCACCGGCTTCACCTTCATCGTTGACACGCTGCGGAAAGGTCAGAGGTCATCATATATACACACGTTTTCTAAATATAATTATATGGGGGCTTCCCTACTGCAAAACAGAGTTCTGTAGAAACATACGATTTGATCAAATATAGATTTGCTGTTTTCATCATCGCCTTTGGCGGCGGCGGCTCATTTTACCCCAACATCAGTGTCCATCATGAACTGATCCAGACCAAACCAGCTGATATCTGAACCAACAGCACGTCTCACACACATTCTGTACCATCCATACAACAGTAGAGTACACACACACACACACACACACACACACCTGCTTAGTTTATTTCTGGACAGGAGAGCTGTCAGTCAGTAAATGTGAAACAGTAACCAGCGTTACGTATTTGAAAAAGCACATTTTTGTTCTAAATTGAAAAAGTAATGCAATTCCTGTAATGAAGTTCCTGTAATGCGTCCCACACACACAACGCTGATTCGATTATTTCCCGTGGCAGGAGATAACCTGGACGCGGTCCACGATATAACGGTGGCGTATCCGCAGAACATCCCTCAGACGGAGCGGCACCTGGTTCTGGGTCTGTTTCCCCGGGAGATCCACTTCCACGTGCGGCGCTACGGCGTGTCGGTTCTGCCCAGGTGTGCGCCGGATCTGCAGCTGTGGTGTCAGGAGCGCTGGCGGGAGAAGGAGAACCGGCTCAGGGAGTTCTACCGGGCCGAGCCGCGCCGCTTCGACGAGCCCGAGGCCCGCGTGCCGCCCTGTAAGAGCCAGCTCAGGGTGTCCCTCATCAAAGCCTGGTCGCTGGTGTTCTGGACCGGCTTCATCGGCGCCTCCTGCCTCGGCCTGTGGCTCTCGGCCCCCTTACGCATCTACTTCCTGTTCATGGTGATCTTCTTCCTGGGTCAGCTGAGGGTCACGGGGGGGGTGGAGCTGATGGAGCTAGCGTGTCACCGCTACTGGAGCTCGCGGGGAGGAGGAGTGGAGGAGAAGGAGGAGTGAGGAGACGCGTGTGAGCGAACGGCCACAGCACCTCCTGCTGGCGAGAGGATGAAGCGCAGCTCCTAATGAGGGACTCATCGCACTCATTAGAAACGCATCATGCGAGCGCTGGCGAATTACATTAATCACTGTGCGAACGAATGTCATGCCTGTGGAAGCTTGTTCCACCGTGGAGTTAAAAAAAGGTCATCGCAACTTTTTCTCTCCGAAAAAGAACACACAGAATTGTGAGATTTGCAGTTTGCGAGAAAAAGTCGCAATTACCTTTATCCTGTGGTGAAAGCAAGACGACGGAATTGAGAGACAACGTCAAAATTGCAAAATGTAAACGCAATTCTGAAAAAAAAAATGTCGCAAGATATAAATGCGCAGTTGTGAGGAAAAAAATCGTGATGATCGTTGTTATTTTTTATTCAAGCTTCCATACGTACCTGAGCTGAGGCCTCGTCTGTTAGCGTCTCTCCTGTTCCTCTCTCTCAGTCTCGCTGGCTTCCTCGTGTTTTAGTAGCTCAGTCCTGACCCGCACATGACATGCGGACAAAAATATATATATATCACGGCCACGATAATCATTCATTCCCTCGTATAACTAAACCGTGTGCACGCTATAATCATTTGTTCCTTCATCTTAAGTAAATCATCTGCACAATATAATAATTCATTCCCTGTTGAACTAAATCGTGTGCACAATGTAATAATTTGTTTCCTCGTTTTAAATAAATCGCGCATACGATAGAATTCGTTCCCCCATTTTAAGTAAATCGCACACAAAATATAATAATAATTCGGTCCTTTGTTTTAAATAAATAACAATATAATTAGTTCCCCCCTTTTAAGTAAATCGCACACACAATATAATAATTCGCTCCTTCGTTTTAAATAAATCTTGCACACAATATAATAGTTTGTTTCCTTGTTTTAAGTAAATGGAGGTAATAAATTAGTAAAACATGTTGATGTATTAGTAAGTGGTGGGAACTAATTGTTGATATATATATTTGTTCTTATGTCATGTGTGGCTCTGTGGGTTAATCACGAGTTACAGCCATATTTTTAAGAGCTATTGTATTTTTGAAACTTATTGTTTTTAAAGCTTATTTATTTATTTTATAGTAGTGGATCACAGCCGTAGCACATCATCAGCTTTGAGTGCTCGTGGAGAGTAATGTTTAAGTGTTGTTAACATCAGGAGTGTGTTCTCGGCTCTTACACGCGAACCAAGTGAAGATTCTCAGACAATCCGCTTTTAAATCAGGGCAAACGCTGATTTACCAATTCACTAGATTACAGAATATCTGGCCAAAACTGAGTCCCATTGGCCTGACCTTTGACCTCTGGTGTTCCTCCTCGTGTCTTGGTGTGTGATGGAGGAAGACCAGCTCACTGTGATCAGTTCACACACACACACACACACACACACACACGTCCCTAATGCACATGTCCAACCCTCACTATCACTCAGGTATATTCAATCACTGTAATCTATAATCAATACTCCAATAAATCAATGTTCTGTGTTTCTTTTCAATCTTGTGTCCGGTTCAGTTCTGCACATGTAGATATGAAGCACTCTAACATGTAGTGTGTCTGTGTATAAAACATCCGAAGTTTATATATCATATAAATGTAGCTAAATATCTTATCGTACAATATATATAGAGAGACACTCTTTAAGAAGATTGTGTTTTCATGCACTTCCCAGTTTTGAGCTGAATTCTGCTTCTTTCAGACCAGTAGAAAGAAAACATCCAAAAAAAGTGTTTATTTTATTGCACTTTTTGCGTTTGTAGGAATGTCCAAATGCGGCGTGTTTGAGTCAGAAATATGCACCAAGTATGATTATATCTATATTATTTTTTCCGTTCATTCGGGATGATGAATGAGCCATGTGACTCTGATGTTTGGAAGTGGGGTTGCCGTGACAACAAATAGTTCTCGTCAATGCAGACGGGGATCGTGCGTGTGCGCATGCGCAGTTTGTGCTCCGGGGATCATTATAATAAAAGTCCCTTTGGTCTTTGTTATAATTCAGTTTTCTGCTGATCAGGTGATGTTGGGCTCATCTGAATAAGGTTGAGTAGAGTTTTAATCAAATGTGCGTCCTTTCTGTAATCGAAAACCATTAGGATCGTGCGTGCGTCTGCTGCAGTGTGTGTGTGTGTGTGTGTTTGTTCTGATGCTTCTGCTTCCTGGAAGTTTTAATTGTTTCTCTGGATTGCAGAGTTCGTGTGACACACACACACACACACACACACACCATGGAAAGAGTGACACCTTCAACCTCTTCCATTTTTAATAGTCGCTGTCTTCATCTGTAATGATCTTAACCGTAGCCTGGCTAAAACCAGACCATTCATTTGCCGGAAGTTGTCTGGGTTTCCCAGCCTATCTTAACCGTGTTTCTGTAATAAATGTTAAAAAATAACTGGCATAAAGTAGAGAAGTGCTTCATCTGACTGTCACATGACTGGTGTTAATCTACGTCTCTGTGTGTGAGAGACTTATGTGTGTGTGTGTGTGTGTCTGCTGCCCTCTAGTGCTATATCGCTCTGTTCCTGTGACGTCATGAAACTCTCGTCCAATCACAGATGTTTTGCAGACCATCATCAGGTGAATCTTCAGCTCAGTAAATAAACTCATGAAAACTCAGTTCACAAATCATTTCCAGGCTAAATCATAATTTAATCACAATGATTCCTATTAGTGTATTCAGTTTACATTCGATTGTCTCGCTCTCACACACACACACACACACACACACACACACAACACTATGAACTACATCAGAACATGTAAATATCAGTTAATTCTGTGTTTCCCTGAATTAGCAAACAGTTATGAAGATTACGAAGAGAAAAGAAACGATAAATAATAATAAGAAATACGCTGATTTTGTTGTGAATCTCATGAAAAAATGTCCAGGTCTAATTTAACCCCAAAAATAAGGATCTACAGATTTGTTGCATTACAGCAATGAAGCACAACTGTAATGCGTCAAGATTTATAATAGTTCCATATCACATATGGAATTATTATATCACAAATTAATTTACATATTAATTTCTCATATTACAGTCATGGGAATTTTGCTTGATTGTTCGTAAGCAAAAGTAATCTTTGGTTGCACTTTATTTTAAGGCGTCGTTGTTACGATGTATATTAAGTAATATTAAGCAACTACATGTGCTTACATTAGGGTTAGGATGTTTGAGGGTTAGTTGCATGTAATTATGCATAATTTATAGTTTGTGCATGTAACATCACAATGATAGCGTAAAATAAAGTGTTACCGGACCTCTTTATCTTGGGCTGAACTGTGAGCTGGACGTCGAGAGATTCACTCATTCACACAATACATAAGCAGCAGTTTCAGTCAGGCACCGTCGAACAGCATGTCGTGTTTAACGACTCAAACGACCCAGAAGTCTGAAAGGCACAGACGTGCGGAGACGTGAAGGGATAGTTCTCCCAGAAATTAAAATTAGCCCATGATTTACTCACTGATGATGGACAGATACACTTTTATGGAATTTGAAACGGACACGGACGATCACTGCCGTTATAACGGCACACACACAGATAAGATTGTGTTCGTCTGGAAGAAGAATGTCATGTACACCTAGGATGGCTTGAGGGACAGTAAATCATGGGCTAGTTTTCTTTTTAGGGTGAACTATCCCTTTAAACACTCTTTTGTGTCCTGCAGAATATCACAGATCCGGCTGGGATTCAGTCTCATCTTCCACGCTCTTGAAAAACCAGCTTTTTAGCTTTAAAACTTGGTGCTTTCGGCACACTTGTCAGGTGTGTTGGGGCTGTGTGTGTGTGTGTCTCTCAGCAGGGCGGGTCCAGCGTTGTCAACAGCCACGTCCCCCGAGGGCGAGGAGGGGTTTCCGTCACACACACTCACTGCGGCGGCCGGACAGCAGGAGAGCTTCACGCAGGCGGGCGACACACACACTCCGCTGCAGTGTCCGGGGTCCGTCTCCCCCTCGGCCCGCTCCAGCTGCACCGTCACGCTGTGGACCCCGGCCCGGTGGAAGAGCTGCAGGATCTGTCCGTGGAGCCCGACCCGGCCCGCCGCCCAGCTCAGATCCGCCAGCTCCGGACACACTCGCACATGCAGCGACGCCACGTTACGCCCTTTAGCCAGCTCCCACACGTGAGCCTCGTGAACGCTCGTCACGCCGGGGAGTTTGCACACACTCTCCACTGGGACACACACACAAAAACAAGCGTCATGACTCAGAAGCTTTTCAGTATGAAACCACAACGGACATTTATCGGATATCTCGTGTTTATTCTTAATTATTTATCAGTGTTTTAAACTCCTGTTCCTGGTCATCTTGAACCAGAATCAGTTCGTCTTGCAGCTTCTCTTCTCTGATGATGTGGGCAGGGCTATAACCTGTCACTCACAAGAGATCAGCCAATAGCAAACCACAACAATCCAATCAATTCCCCACAGACACAATCAAGCCCCGCCCACATCTGTTCTTGTTCAAGAAGCGTTTCTACGTTTCTACCAGAAATGGTTCATTAATTGAAAAAAAAAAAAAACCCTTTTAAAGCTTTATCTCTGCTAGTGCCGTGTGTGTGTGTGTGTGTGTGTGTGTGTGTGTGTGTGTGTAGTGATTCTCCAGTGTGTGTGTGTGTGTGTGTGTGTGTGTGTGTGTAGTGATTCTCCAGTGTGTGTGTGTGTGTGTGTGTGCTGGTGAACTCACGGATGGGGCTCAGCTGCAGGTCAGCCGGACTCATCTGCAACAGGATTCCAGCGGTTTCTTTGACCAGTGGAACGGCGGAGGACATGATGATGACCACCATGATGAGGGTCAGACTGGGGTCCACGTAACACTGCCAGTTACACGGGCTCTCGGGGGCCAGGGGCCACACGTAGAACAGAGCCGACGCCACGACCACCACCACTGACCCCAGAGCGTCATTCAACACGTGCAGAAGAACACCTGCAGAGAGACGAGAGACGACACTGAAGACAACACTGACCCCCAGAGAGACAACACTGACCCCCCAACACTGACCCCCCAACACTGACCCCCAGAGAGACAACACTGACCCCCAGAGAGACAACACTGACCCCCAGAGAGACAACACTGACCCCCAGAGAGACAACACTGACCCCCAGAGAGGCGAGAGCTGTATTTTAAAAATGTCATATAATTACAAAAATAAACACCGGTATTCGGTATGAACTGGTATCCCGCCAGCACTAGCCTAACAGTCAAATAAAGGAGGCTCACCTCGGATGTTCAGAGGAGGACCTTCTCGCTCAGCCTTCTGGTCCTGGAGGCCTGTGGACGGATAATGGACAAGTGTGGAGTGCAGAACTGAAGATCCATGTTTGGTTCTGAGGGTCAAACATCACAGCTGGACGGTCAGAAGTCATGGATTAAGAGTGTTTTTCACTGTAAACCTGCGCAGAGAAGCCTTGTCTCCGCAGCGCGAGCCTCCACAAACGAACAAGGTGTTTATACTTGATGCACCGCCGTTGTACTATTCTTTGAAACGAAAGAATCGCCTCGAGTAATTGTAATCTAGGGTTAGGGCTACCAGAGAAACTTCCACTCTCAGTAAACTTGCGGCTTCTTAACTGGTTGCAGTTCCACTCAGTTCCATATGAGGGCGCTCACAGGACAAGTGCAGATTGAATGGAGGTCTATGGAGCTCTCACTCAATTTTAGTCTAATAATTTGAATGCTGTATGCGAAATGAGATGCAAAGAAATGACACATTGTTGAGTGTTAGATTTTCACTTATTTGCTTTAAAAAGTCTTTTAAAATGTCAATGACGTCATACACATCTTACGACCAGAGACGCTGCTTTACGGCAATCCTTCAGTCACTTTGGTGCTTTCGCGCTCTGCACTTTCTTTTCTCTCAAGGCAGCTGACACAGGTAAATACGTGCTAGAACAGTTTTTGTAAGACCAAAGTTCTTAAAGTCCCCGTGAAATCAAAATTAAACCTATTTACTTTGTTAGCGCATATTACTAGTCTTGTGGTGAACAATTAATCCGTGCAAGTAAATATATATTAAAAAAATGTTTTACCTTGGTAATCTTTAATCAAAATCTGAAAAGTTACTTCCGGTCTGGAACGGTTGATGACGTAGGTTTCACAGTTTGGGTGGGGAAACGCTTAACCACTCCCCTCAAACCGTTAGTTTGCTATGAGCGAGAGATGGAGAGGAGGAGCGCTAGAGTAAAACCCTGCCCTCTGTTCAATATTCCGTTTCACTTGGAAATACGTCACAGCACTGGAGAAAAATCGTTTGCAACTTCCGGTTCACGGGGACTTTAACATTCTGGTCCCGCTTCATTCAACTTCCTACCATGTTCCTACCAATCAAATCTGAGATTTCTCAACGGCATTTAGGTGAAAGAGACAAATTTAGCCGTCTTGCTCCATAGACCCCCTTTAATTTAGCACTCATGGGCGATCGCCCCCAGTGGAACTCTGCTGGAACTACAACCAAAATTTGGTACAATAAGACTCAATAGGGAGTGGCCAGGCTCTCTGTAGACGGGGTGCTCTGGGGCTACTTTAAATTTTTCATTTAGTTTTATGAACATGGTTATAGAACACGGACCTTTATTTTTATTAAATGGCCTTATTGTAGTGTCCTAATTAATTTAGACGCACAAACTGGGTGCCGTGTGATGAGAACGTGCTTGGCCAGATTCGGCTCGAAGTCGTGCATCTCTTCGGAAGCGGGGCCGCGCGGAAAGTGCGTCACCACCATGCGAAATGGGGTCTCGCGCACGACCGCCCACTCCGCGATGACGTCATTTTTGTCACCGGCACCTTCCGGCAAGTATAAACCAAGCTAAAAGTTTAACTTTAGAACCAGATTTTTCCTAGAACTAGAACTTTATTCTAGTAACGCATTCTGTTCCAGTGTGAATGGCCTCTTTCATTACAGATTATTAGTTCACAGTACAAGAAAACAGTCAATACTGTAGTAATTCATGCATGATCTGTTTACAACAACTCTCATCACACACACACACACACACACACACACACACACACACTCCATCTCTCTCCCTCACTCTCACACACACACACACACACACACACACACACTATGAAGCGTTGTGATGATGAGCACCTGCTTCTTCCTCAGAATCGTCCCCGTCCTCTTTGCTCGACTTCCCCGCGTCCTTCCGCAGCGCCGCGCACAGGCACCGGTAGTCCTGGAACACCAGGAGCCCGAGCACGTTCACCGCGAGCCCGAGCGCGCCCACGATCAGCACCAGCGTTGGGTCATCGATCGCCTGCGGCAAAGCGAGCCTCTTCAGCGACTCCATGGACACGGAGAAGCAGAGCGCCGCGAGGAACACCGCGTTGGCCAACGCGCCCACCACCTCCGCGCGGCTCATGCCGTAGGTGAAGCGCCCCGAGCCCGCGCGTCGCGACACACGCGCCGCCGTCAGCCCGACGCACAGCGACAGTATATCCGACAGCATGTTGAAGGAGTCGGACACGAGCGCGATGGAGTTCCCCATGTAACCCGCCACGATCTCGGCCACGAAGAAGACCACGGTGATGACGAGCATCAGGATCAGGCGGCACGTCTTCCCGCTGTAGCGGCCCATGGTCGAGCCGAATGTGTGTGAGACGCAGGTGCGCTCGTCTTTCGCGTGCGTTCAAGTGTGTGAGATGCAGGTGTGTGTGTGTGTGTGTGTGATGGTGAGCTCGTCTCTGCTCATCACCTGGAGTCTCGCGCTGACGCGCATGAGTTGGCAGTTTTCCTCACACCGATTCAGCGCGCGCTGTTGTGCTGCTGGATTCCTCTCACACTGTCACCTTTGGACACGCGCGCACACACACACACACACACACACTCACCCAGCGGGTTTCTTTCCTGCTGTTTAAGCGTTAGTTAGTGAGTTCCGTGCAGGTCAGCGGGGTTATGGCTCTACGTGCTCACTGTAGAAACAGTCGGATAATAACTCATCTGATTACATGAGCGCGATAAGAGTCTGCTGACTGACAGCTTTCATCTCTGATCATAAAACCTCTCGATCTTATGAGCTTCATCTTATTCTCTCTCGTGTCCTCAAAACAACTCGCACGTGCACTATCTTTCTCATCGAGTCTTTCTTTATTCCACAAAAGGTTGATTAGTTTTAGAATTTTTATTTTATTTTAATAAAGGTTCCAAAAAGGGTTTTTTGAAGAACCATTTGGTTCCCCAAAGATCCTTTCAGCGATCAGTCCTTAAAAGAGACATTTTGTGAAATACATTTGAATAATCTGAAGAAACTTTTGTGCAATGGATAATTTCAATGTTCAAGATTCAGCTTTACAGTGATAAACAGCATTTCGTCTGTTGTTCAGCTGAAGTCAGCTCCCTTGAAAAGATAATCTATTATTAAATTATATCATCTATAATGAAATTCTGCTGGAAACAGTGATGCCAACATCCATAATATGGTATTTCATATTAAGTGTTAAATGTTCTTCTCTGGAACCATTGATGCTGCTGAAAGGTTCTTTGGGGAACCAAAAACGGTTCTTCTATGGAAACCTCTTTTTGAACCTTTATTTTTAAGTTTAAGAAGCAGTTTCTTTTTACATACTGGTGTGTTTTTCTGTTGATCTGATTTGTTTGTCAGTAAACACGTGTTTGACCCGCAGAAATTAGGTTTTGTTCCAGTGTACGTGAGCAGGGCTTGAATGACAGTAGATGTAAGACAAAAACCTTTCCGTCAGCTCTAGTTAATACACACACACACACACACACACACACACACACACACACACACACACACACACACACACACACACAGAACTGAAGATGATCCTCTGGGCTGTTGGATGAAGTCGACTGCAGAAGAACAACACTGAGCTTCACTGCCCTCTGCTGGAGAAGCCCAACACACAGCTTCATCTTCAGCTTCGGGACGGGACGTATTCCCCAGTCTGACATCATAGCCTGAACAAAATTATAAACGCGACACTTTGGTTCTTGCCCCCATTCTTCATGAGCTGAACTCCAAGATCTAAGACTTTTTCTATGTACACAAAATCTCTCTCCTGGGGTGCCTCAGGGCTCAGTGCTGGGAACCCCGTCTACATGACATCACTATAGGATCTGTGATTCAGAAACATGGCTTTTCCTATCATTGCTTCGCTGATGACACACAACTCTACCTCTCGTTCCAGCCTGATGATCCGACGGTACCTGCCCGTTTCTCAGCCTGCCTGACGGACATCTCTGGCTGGATCAAGGACCACCACCTTCACCTCAACCTTGCGAAGACAGAACTACGCGTGATCCCGGCCAACCCAACTCTTCATCACAACTCCTCCATTCAGCTCGGCTCATCATCCATAACTCCATCAAGGTCAGCTGGGAACCCTGGGGTTGATCAGATGATCAGTGGAACTTCACAGACCTCATTGCTGGAACTGCCCGGTCCTGCAGATCGACCTCGCTCAACATTAGGAGGATCTGCAGGCCCTTCCTAGCAGAGCTACACAACTCCTTGTCCATGTTTTATCCAGACTGGACTGTTCCAGCTTGCTCTGTCAAACCTCCGCAACTGATCCAGATCGTCTGAGACCGGCCGGACACAAGCGGCTGCATGAACCGGTTTCCAGAACCAAAGAGTCCAGAATCGTCTCAGGGAAGCTCGTCGTCCTCACCCGCTGAGCGTGTTCGTCCTGCTCTGGATCGGCGTATGCGTCAGCGTGTTCCCGGTCCATCAGATATCTAGCAACTCTGAAGAGGACCATGCCCACACAGGCCCGATCCACAAGCTGATCAACTCTATGCCAAGGAGAGATGTGTGCACTCACTGTGGCGGTCACACCAGATCCAGATCCAGTAAAACTGCACATTATACGCCTTATTCACGGCAGCGCCATCTTTGATTTTTAATGAGAATGAAAGCGAGGCTGTGAGGGATAGACTTGCATCTCTTCAATGGGCTGTACTGTTATTTAATGTGTTTTCAGATTGTTCTGCTCATGAAACACTGGAAAAATATCTTTCCAAGAAATTTTAATTGACAAAAAACTCCCGACAATGTAAGCTGTGGAAAATTGTAAGTAATCCAGCCGCTTTATTCAGCTTTTTACAGCGGATGCCGTTGGAAACACGGTAAGGCTATCCCTCACAGCCTCACTTTCAGATTAGAAACATCAGACATGAACAAACATCATGAACAGAAAATGCTTTAATGAAAGGATAAATACAGAGAAGCAGAAAACGGTCTCGCTGGTCACACTTTTACATCACAAACGAACACTGGAGAGAAACGATCATAAGCGTGTGAGGAATTTGCTGAGAATTACAGAACAATAAAGTTTCAGACTGCGGCAGAACTGAGGAGCTTTAGGAACAAATCCGGCCGTGAACGAGCCAGTAATCGCCTCAGTAACTCAACGCTCCTCTGATGCTGAACTGAGGAAAAAGCAACTGAACTACAACTATTCATCTCTAACAAAGGCGGGATCTTTCGGGAGTGTGTGATGGAGAACAGGCTGATGCGTCAGGAACCGTTACACACGTGTTTATACATTTCACTCAGAGCAATGCCTCGATCACAGCGCTGACAGAAACCAGTTCACCCAGAGGAGAAGCTCCCAATCCCTCCAGTCAGCAATCCTGAACCGGTCCGTGGAGCTCTCGACGGCAGCGCACACACGAGGAGGAGTTACATTAGCCATCGCACTCCTCACCGCACTGGGCCATCCGTCAACCATCAAGGAAACTGACGTGATCCCGACAGCAGAAGCGAGATGTGTGTGTGCTGGCATTGCTGTGGTTTGTGTGTCTTCAGCTCAGGTTGTGCTTTATCAGTGAACACATGAAACACACGATCCACAGAGATCCAGGAACACAATCAGAGCAACGAGATTCGTCAATCGTTTCCCAAAACGTTTGATGCTTTTCTCCGTCTGTTCTACAGGCGCGAGTGAAACTGCAGGTTCATCCTATCATAACATCAAGAGCTTTGAAAAGATGGGGAGAAAACTCATTATTGAACTATAATCAGTTTGTTAATCTACTAATCTGCAAAATGTGTTGCATAACGTTCACTGAGAATAACTGAGCTGAAGACACAGAGCCTGACCCTGAAACAAGAGCAATAATGGCATAGACATAATAGTACGAAGCCGTCAATGGCTCAAGCACAGAGAGGAAAGATGCGTCAAACATGAGCTTATGGATTTCTGTCAGAGTATTACGATCCAGACTCCTTCATGAGCCTCTCTGTACTTGCAGCCAATTGAAGAGGAGATTTTTCAGCGTCAAATGCGTGTTTATTTGCAAATCTATTTAGATAAAATCATGTTTCTCTGTGAGGAGGCGGGCTGACGGAGGTCACGTGACTGGGCTGATGAAGGTCATGTGATCACGTGCCCGGGCTGACGGAGGTCACGTGACTCAGGAGGCGTCTGAAGGCACGTGCTCCTCGAAGCCCTCGCTCTCCCGCACCAGCGCTCGCTCCAGGATGACTCGACCCTCTTTATAGCGCTGGCTGTCCTCTGTGGCGAACTCGTAGATCCAGCCCAGCTTACTGTTGCAGTTCTTACAGCTCACGTCCCGAACCATGTGTCTGCCGGTCAACATCACGCGGTCCTGCACCTCACTGTACTGCAGGTTCACCACCTGAGGACACACACACACACACACACACACCCGTCAGCCAGAAACATGGAGCACATCTTGAAGAAAACTAAACTAGAGGTAATCCAGGTTTCCTAATCTATAATCCTATGAAACAGTGGCTAAACTAACGGAGAAGAAGCTTCAAGCGACACAGCAGTAATGACTTTATGAACTTCTTCACTTATAAGATTGATAATATCGGGGACAAAATTATAACTATGCAGCTGTCTACTATCAGGGGGTGTGTTGTTGTCTCCCTGAGGAAGGATTTGTCTCATTTGCTGCTATAGGGGAGGAAGAATTTTGCAAACTTGTTAATTCATCTAATCAACAACCTGTATGCTAGACCCTACACCCACTACACTACTGAAAGAGATGCTTCCAGAGGTCAGAGATCCTCTTAATATCAGTAATTCGTCTTTGTCCGCTAGGATACGTACCAAAAACCTTTAAGCTAGCTATGATGAAACCACTTGTTAAAAAACGCAACTTGATCCTACAGATTTAGTTAATTACAGGCCAATCTCGAAGTTCGAACCTGCCTTTTCTGTCAAAAGCAGTATCCTCACAATTGTGTTCCTTTCTTGAAAGAAATGACTTTCAGTCCGGATTTAGACCGCATCATAGTACCGAGACAGCTCTCATCTGAGTCACACATGATCTGCACTTATCGTCCGATCGCAGTTGTGTCTCTCTATTAGTGTTACTCGATCTTAGTGCTGCATTCGACACGACTGACCACAACATTCTTTTAAATAGACTAGGGCCATGTCCACACTAATACGTGTTCGTTGAAAAACGTATATGTTTGGCCTTCCGTCCACTGAGACGGCGTTTTCGCGTTGTAGTGTGGGCTGTGAAGCCGGAGCTATTTGAAAACAATGACGTAAGTTTAGTCATGTGATCCATGTTGTACTAATAGATATTCATATAGCGGTATTGTGCCTGTTATGTGCTATTCACGCTGTTGCTAAAATGTTCCCTCATATCACAGTCCTGCACAGATGACATGTACTCGCATCTGCTGTCCCGCGGCAATGCAGGAGACCGGTCGCAGACCAAACATACGCTGACTGAGTGCGACCTGGGAGATATTTTGCTAAATAAAATGATCCTGTTTGAAGAATTGCGCGATAACTTTATAATTTATGTTTCCATCTATCATCCCGGTGTGCTTTTTTAGGTGGATTCACACTGAAACATCCGAAAACGCCTGAAATCGCTAGTGTGGACGCCGGAGAACGTTTTTAAATGAAAACGCCATTTTCGAATGTATCCGGATTAATGTGGACGTAGCCGAGATAAATATGTTGCCATTAGTGGAATTGCATTTGCTTTAAATCACACTTATCTGACCGTTATCAGTTTGTAGCAGTAAACGAAGAGATGTCTTATCCATCACAAGTTCAGTATGGCGTACCACAAGGCTCAGTAGTAGGACCGCTGCTGTTCACTCTGTACATGCTACACACACACAAACTGTACAAGCTAGCCTCACACACACACACACACACACACACACGTGTGTATGTGTGTACACATGCCTTGTTGAAGAGGAAGGCTCTCCCTGTGGCTCCAGTAAAGCGGGTTGAGATCAGCTCTGAGCGGTTCGTCAGGATTGTGTCACAGTTCGCGCAGGAAAACAAGCGCGTCCCACCGATGTGATCCAAGAAGATCCGGCCCATGATTCCTGCGACACACACACACACACACCTGTGAGGAGAGACGAGCACCGATATAACGGCAGTATTCAGCCACAGTGCCTTGCCTAAGCGATTTCATGCGTGTCGTCTCTCTCATCTTCACATCTCTCTCTCTCTCTTCTTCAGTAACCCCCCCTCTCTCTCCCTCAATATCTCTCTTTTCTGCATGTCACTTCTCAATTTTCAATTTCAAATTAGCTTTATTAGCATGACTGTGTAACACAATCAAACAAACAAAACATATATGTATAGATCATGTCATATGTGGCATAAATAGATCATTTATTTACACACACAACCTCTCTCTCTCTTTAATTCAAATGTGCTTTATTGGCGTGACAATTACTTCAATGTATTGCCAAGCATTTCCAATCATCAAAGACACATAAAATAAATAAATAAAAAATGAAAAATGTAAGTAGAACAATATCTCTCTCGTCTGTCGCTCAGCGTCACACAATAACAACAACAACATGATCAGATGAGCTTGAAAACGGTTATGGCGATTGATGGCCAAAATAAAAACAAATTTGGCCGTTTACTGGTTAGAATGATTAAAACTCTTACCAGCAGATTTAGATCGAGTGTTTATTTATTTCCGTACAGCTCGCACTGCTGTTTCCTTTCTGCGCTTTCGCCAGACTTTATATCAACATCCGGTTCGGTGACGTGCGCGATGACGTCACACGCTCCGGCGCACGTGTCATGACAACAGCTGTCGGAATTGTCCAATTGTTTTTAATCTTAGGAAAATTCCATATTCATAAGAAGAAATGGGCAGAGTCCAAACCAAGTTTTGAACACCTTTTAGCAGAGCTAAACCAATATCACACCACTGTAAGAGGTCTTAAAAATAGAAAGGCTATTAAGACTGATCTTGTACTTTCCAAATATGTTTAATTAGCATCCTTTTTTGTAATTTGGTCTTGTTTTATTTTTTTTTGTAATTTTTTTATTTTATTTTATTTTTATTTTATGGTCATTGTTTGTCTTGTATGTCTGTTTAGTTGTGTATTTTGTGTATCAATCCTGGCATAAACAGATGTTGTTGTATTATATTGTTAATATTGAATAAAAAAAAAAAACAAAAAAAAAAAAACAAAAAAAAAAACAACAGCTGTCGGAAATGTGAAAGTTTGATGGGATACCTCTCCCAGACCCGGCAGACACGTATGTGGGTAAGATATGTTTTAAATCGACTCTAAAAAATAATAGAGGTATCCGTCTTCTCTTTCTCAATGATTGTGTCTCTACTCCTCATGTTATTCCAAAATGGAACGCGTTAGTGGAAGATATTTCATGGAAGAAGGTTTGGACTCTCCCTAAATAAGGTCAAAGAGATTTCTTTTAAGCTTATTCATCAATATTATCCTGTCAAAACGTTCATAGTGTCAAAATTTAAATTAAGTATAGATGTAAACTGTACTTTTTGTGATTCAGAACCAGAGACTATCTTACATCTTTTTTGGTACTGTGGTCATACCAGAAAACTTTGGCAAGACATTTGCCAATTCATTGTAAATTATATATATAAAGACTTTGTGCTTTACTTCAAAGATGTTCTATTTGGGTTTTTCATATTTGAGAAGCAATATGAGAATATTTTTTTTCTTTGCAACTTAATTATTTTGCTTGCAAAATATTTTATCCACAAATGTAAAACTATGAAAGTTACCCCAAATTTTTCTCACTTTCAAGAAGATGTTAAGATTTATATCAGAACTTTATCTACCTCTTGTAACCAAAAGGCTACTAAAACTTTGAATGTATGCTCATTTTTTGATGTGTTTGTATAAAAAGAGATAGTATGTGTGTATATATATATATATATATATATATATATATATAATATTATTTTCTGTTTAAGTTATTATTATTTTATTTATTTATATTTTTTTGTCTTTCTCGTTAAATTCCAATGTAATGTAATATGTATCAATCCTTGAACCTCTGGCTCTTGTTTGTGGTTTTCAAAACCTTTCACTGTTTTCACTGTAAGTAAATGTTTAATAATAATAAAAAAAAAAATTTGATGGGAATTTTAGAAATGTTGTAATTGCACATCAATAAAAATCTCAACCCCCCCCCCTGAAGGATGACTGACTGAAGGATATTTAGGGCTATAGGGATTTGAGAAGACTCTTCTAAAAACAGCGCTGCGTCATCAGCTAACTGACTAATGATTAAATTTGTAGTTCCAACAGTTATGCCTTTTTGGTTGCATATACAAATAATATGCAAATTAAGAAATTGTACTGCAATTAAAAACAAATAAGGAGACACTGGACATCCTTGTCGAACACCACGATCAAGGAAAAATCTGGGAGAAGTACTGTTTTTCAGTTTAATAGAAATATTTCCATTTAAATACAACATTTTCACCATCTTACAAAATCAGTCACCAAATCCAATTTTTTTAAGTGCTTGAAATAGAAAATTGTGTTCTAAAGTATCAAACGCTTTGTAATAGTCTAAGAAAAGAATGAAGCTATCGTTATTAATTTGTACTTTTGGCATGGGCTTTAATATATAACACATAAACGCACATTTGGAATAATCAATATATCTTGTATAAAAATAGATCTTTATTTTATGATATTTGGTTTATTAACGGTTTATTTTTAGTTCGTCAGCTTTTAACAATCAAGGTTTCTTAATGACATACACAGAGTTTCTTTCAGAATACAATATACCAGTTACTCCCAAAGAATTTGCTATTGTTATGGGAGCTATACCAACAGGGATCTGTATCCTCTTTAAAAATTGTCCTTACTCTCTTACAATAATTAATACTCTTCCTGAGCCAGATAAAACTCCAATTGGTAAAATATGTTTTTCAGGAAAAAAAAGATAGAAATAATAAAGTTAGATCCCTCTTTCTTGCAGATAGTTTCTGTTTCTCCTGTAATTTCATACTGGAGTAGATTATTTAAAAAATTAAATTGGGAAAAGATCTGGTCCTTACCACAAAAATATTTTTTAACAAATAAAGTAAAAAAAGTATCCTTCAAAATAATAAATACATTTTACCCTGCTAAATATTTCATGATTAAATATAAAAGTAATATTGACACAAGATGCTCATTTTGCTAAGTTCACAACTGCTTATCTATACTAAACAACTATGGGAAAGTATTGGCAAGTTTATTAAAGATAATATCCAGCAAGATATATCAGTAAAGACATCATTTTTGGATACTTTGACTTTGATGCCGATAAAAAAAAGCTTGCTTTGTTACCAATTTAATTTATTTTATTGGGAAATTCTATATCCATAAATGTAATTTCTCCAACAATAAACCAATCTTTATAGTTTTTTTGAAAGAGTTTGAAATGTTCCTTAACACCATCTCATCCTCAGTAAATAAGGAAGCAATAAAAACACTTTTATTTTGTAATGACTTTAATTTGGTTAGACCTACACTAAATTTTGTATAGAATATCTTGACCCTCATTTGTGTTAAGATGACTCTGTACATATTGTTGTCATATTTTGTACAGATATGTTTGCAATTGTGTAACAGATTTGTATGCTATGTGCTATGATTGTCATCTTTGTTTGTTTATAAGCATAAAAAAACAGCTGTCGGAAGTGTTTTATTTAACTATTCTTTTATATTCTGTTATTTTTAATACGTATCGTTGTGTTGTAAATGTGTTGTTCCACGCCGTAAACTGAACGTTCAAACAAGTGTATGGTTCAAACAAAACATTACAAAGAATAGCTGTCGGAACCAACATTAATACAGAGAAAAACAAGATACTCAAACCCCATTTCTTCTCTATGGAATCTTATTTAAGAGAAAGAGGGTTTCATTGTAAAAAAACAACAAACAAATGCTTAGAAATGCTTTGGCAATTGTCATGCCAATAAAGTACATTTTGAATTGAGAGAGAGAGAGTGTGAGTGTGAGTGTGAGTGAGAGAGAGAGTGAGTGTGTCTGCAGAGGGCGCCAGATCTCGTTCATATCATTATTTTGAACATTAGCACACAGAAGGTAAGAGAGGAGAAATTTTGCTCAACAGAATCAGCTTTTATTAACACCACATTCATGTGTAATTCCTGTAATTGATCATCTCGATACACAACTTATTCTGCGCGGGTCATCCTCAGCATATCCGGTGTTTGTGATCTGTGCTCGGGCTCTGAGGGGTTAGCTCGCTTTAGCCCGGTTAGCCGGAGCGGCTAATAATGACCCTTGATACCGGACTGATTAATTATTGTCTTTCATCTGAATGTCATCTTTCGATTTTATGCTAAAAGAGAAATGCGGTTTTGGTGAAAGGAATATTTTGATCTGATGGTTTGAGCTGTTTGTGTGGACAAGTTGATTTGACAGTGCTAATCGTGCTAGCACTGCATTTACAGATGATTAACTCCATGTTGAATTATATTATAAAATTAAAATCAGTTTTACTGAACGAAATACTCTAATACGCGGGATAAAAACAGGCACATGTATCATTTGTTTTACTACCATTAATTCTGATGTCCCAGCAAAAAATATAATACCTCATACACACACATAATGGACATACTGTGATCTAATGCAGTTTAAATCTGTTGATTTTCTGAAATTGTGCTGTTTTAATCTGGCAAACCTTCAAGAAATTAAATGTCATTGTTATAAAGAGTAGAGTGAAACGATTAACTGTGTTTCTATTAATAATCTGTCATTTAAAGGTTAGAGGTCATCCTCTGGTGTTCTCAGAAGGGCTCCACCGGCAGTGTGTGTTTGAGACGCAGCCGTGTGTCCTGTGAGGATGAGGATGATGATGATGATTAGCTGTTGTGTTTCTCTAAATATATTCTGGCATGTGCCGTCAGAGATATGATTATATATTTGTCCTGGGCAGTGGCAGAGACTGAATCTGATGCGTCGGTTCTTCACACACACATATCAGGCTTTATTGACTTTATCCAGTGATATTGATGATTAAAGCAGCTTTACAGGAGAGAATTATCCAGCAGATCAAGTTCTGTTCTCATCTTACAGTGTCAGTGCAGCCAGATCCATAATACTGGATATATGTCTTTCATAGCTCACGATAATGACAGATGTGTGGCTGAGTATCTGTGTGTATCCCTCAATTTTCAATTTCAAATTAGCTTTATTAGCATGATTGTGTAACAGTGTTGCCAAAGCATCAACATATGATATATAAATAAAACAATCAATCAAAACATATATGTATAGATCATGTCATATGTGGCATAGAAATAAATAGATTAAAAAACACAGTCTATCCTAAGAAATAAATAAATACATTGGGTCACTCTAGAGAATTAGCTGTCTCTAGGATTGTGAACAGCCAGCAAGTATTTAGCCGCTAGTGCAGCTGTGCTATCATGTTCTCTGAGTAAGAAGGACATTTCCCCAGTGTCACTCAGTTCACAGAATGATGGGATCAAGGTTTCAAATCTGGGCAGAAAAGTCTCTCTTAGTATCTTAGATCTCTCTCTCTCTCTCTCTCTCTCTCTCTCTCTCTCTCTCTCTCTCTCTCTCTCTCTCTGTCTGTGTGTGTAATCTGTGTCTCTCTCTCTCTCTCTCTCTTATGATGGACACTTTTATGGACTTCCAAACACATGCCGCCATTCACTGCCATTATAAAGGAGTCAGCCCAGGACATTGTTTGACATAACTCTGATTGCACTCGTCT